GTCCGCGCCGGCTGCTGACATCGGGAAGTATGTGTTGATCAGAAATTCCGCTGAAATGAAACATAAGAGGCACTTGCTCCCTCAGAGCAACCACACTTTCGGGGCTGCACTTCAACAGCACTCCTAAATTTAACGGGCACACAGCAAGAAGTGAACTTGGAAAAGCAACTTCGGCATGTTTTTCTAGGCGATCTTCGAAAGGAACAGCTGAAACAAGTACACAGACGACGGCAACAAACCTTCTTTACGTATCCACTGACGAACTTTTTCTCGCTGCTGATGATTTAACACGGACACAGACGAAGATGCCATTGGCAACACGAATGAAGTCGGACCGGCTCCTGAGGACTGCATCAGGACGGTTGAATATGAGGGGCCCACAACTGCCGACGAAAATGAGGGCATGTAGCGCACAGCAGTACGCGATCCGGATGCCTGAGCAGAAGCTGGTGCGCTTGCTGAGCCACTCGAACCTGAACAACCGAACACAACGTTTCATACTCTTTGAAGCACACTACAACTGATGGTGTATTTAAAGCCTCGACGCTATCGAGTCCCATGCAAGTGCCACACGCTCAGTTCCAGGAAAAGACGAAGCAACAAATATGTTTCTCGACTACAGCACCAACTTCTGCCGCCCTTCACCACCCACATACTATCACAGTTTGATGTCTCAAAAAGTAAAAAATTACGTACCCATTCGGATAATTTCTCGATCTTGCCTCCTTCCCCTCAATTATGCAACGGAACTAGCGCCACCTGACCCAGCCGGAAAACTGGCAGAATCACCACCCTTTTCTGTGTAAGCAAAAGAAAATACAACTGAAGGCTACCTGGATAATGATGCGCTGACGCTGACAGGGACTGATTGATAGAAGCAAAAATGGACGTGAGGGTGGTACCTGGTGATATACCTTCATGTGGCGAGTGCGCAGCCGACGACGAGGCAGCCGACATGCGGAACGACGGAAGGCGCAACGAGTGCAAGAAAGTCGATGTTGCTGCTCTACGACGTGATTCTTTTCTTGAAATTGGACTGCAATAATGTTTTCGCCTCGTTTGGCGCGAGATTATGCATTCATGTTTTTTATGCGTTTTGTGCTGTATAACAACAGCACAAAACGCATGTGTGTGTGTATGTCCGTAACTTTCAACTCCGGAAGCACAAAAGCTAGGAACCGAAAATTTAGGGAAACGCTCCCATCCAGGGGTGACCCGAAAATTTAAATTCAGCCTCCCCATATCCGTGGGAAACACGTGCGGTCCCGTAAAAGTTTAGGCACGGGAACCACGGAAGCTAGAAGGCTGAAATTTTACAAGCATATCCCCTTCCCGCATGCGACCCAGAAAATTTAAATTCAGCCTTCTCCTGCCCGCGAGTAACACAAACGGCGCCATGAAAATTTAGCGGGTAAATTATTGTCTCGGGAACCACGGCATCCAGGAACCTGAAATTTTAGGATAATGACACCCTACACACGCACGACCTTACAAATTCTAATTCAGCATTCCCGCGCTCTCTAGTATCACATACTGTCCCGTGAAAATTTTTGCGGGTAAATTATTATCTCGGGGACCACGGGACCCAGATAGCTGGAATTTTAGCGTGGTATCCCCTGCCCACGTGCAACTCCGCAAATTTTCAACGTCCCCGTGGAAATTTTTGCAAAAAAAATCATTATCATAAGAGCCAGAAATGCAAGAGGACTGAAAATTTCAGGAGAATGTTC